GTGTTCTCTGACTGTCACATGTACACTGTGGCAAACATGTGCTACCAAACAATCCCACAGATACATATATACATAAATAAAAGTAAATCTTAAAAAATAATAACAGCCGGGAGTTGGTGGCACACGCCTTTAATCCCAGCACTCGGGAGGCAGATACAGGTGGATGTCTGTGAATTCCAGGCCAGGACAGCCTCCAAAGCCACAGAGAAACAAAAACAACAACAACAATAATAATAAGAGTCTGGAAAGATCACTCAGCAGTTAAGAGCACTAGCTGCTCTTCCAAAAGACACAGGTTTAATTCCCTGCCCCATAGTGGGGCTCACAACCACCTGTAACTCCAGTCTCAGAGGATTCAATGCCCTCTTCTGGTTGCTGTGGGCACCACGCATGCACATGGTGCACTGACATGCATGCGGGCAAAACACCCAAGACATAAAATAAATAATAATAAATTAACAATAACAGGAAGTCACCAAAATATTAGGCATAGTTTGGTCACTGGCCTAAAGAAACCTCCAAAGGCCAGGCTGTGGTGGCATACACCTTTAATGCCAGCACTTGGGAGCCAGAGGCAGGTGGATCGCTATGAGTTCAAAGACAGCCTGATCTACAGAGTGAGTTCCAGAACAACCAGGACTGTTATATAGAGATACCTTGTCTCAGGAAATTAAAAAAAAAAAGGGGGGGGACAAAAAAAAGAAGAAACCTTCAAAGTTCTCAAGTAGCTAAAGGAGCAAGATTGGGGATCCTGGGAAATACGCTTAAAAGGGAAAAAATGTCTTATTGAGACAGGGCCTCACTAAGAACTCAATGTAATCCATCAGCTTCCAATTCCTGAGTTCTGAGATTAAAGACATGGGCCATCATGCAAAACCAAATATAATACACTAGTAGCTCAGTAAATATGTTAGCTGTCTAACTCTTCTGTTTTTCCTTATAAACAGGATGAGTTCTGAAATACTATCAGACTCCATTCATTTTTTTCCCAAGACTGGAACATTTAGTTTACAATTAAAACAAAACAACCAATAGCCAATAACTTAGACAATGTAACAAAGGAGGTTTAGGTACCACTTCTGAGCTAAGCCTACTAAGGAAACACATCTCATACCAAAATAAGGATACCATTTCAAAGCTGTAAAAACGTTACTTTTTTTCTTTTTCAGAAATGCATCCAGTCTAATGGTCACAAAATACAACCACAAGTCATTGTTTTGTTCTGAATTAATTATATTCTTCTGCTTCTACAATATATAATAGTGCAAAATGGTTCTCACAGCCTGGGCTCTTTCCTTTAGATGACATGTACTTTATCAACAACTTTTTTTTGCAGTTCTTTTTTTTTAACAGTAACAATTATTGGGGCTGGAGAGATGGCTCAGAGGTTAAGAGCACTGACTGCTCTTCCAAAGGTTCTGAGTTCAATTCCCAGCAACCACATGGTGGCTCAAAACCATCTATAATGAGACCTGGTGCCCTCTTCTGGCCTGCAGGCATACATGCAGACAGAATACTGTATGCATAATAAATAAATGAATAAATTGAAAAAAACAGTGACAATTATTATCTGTCAAAACAATAAAGATTTTTAAAAATCATTTAAAATATTATAATGAACACAAAGGAAATATAAATAAAATTCAAATACAAAAACAAATACAATTTACAAAGTACAATTTTATATCCTGACACAGAGAACTTTAGAGTCAACATGCCCCATCCTCAAGTTATTCAGTGTCCGATATCTACACTGGAGCCAAGGAGTATGGCTCTACCTATAAAAGCCTCGCATGGGATGAAATAGCATCTGAACTTTTGATATCCCCCCTCAAAAAAAAAAAAAAAGAATAAAAGCTTGAAGAGATCACATTTAAATTTTAGTGGATGGCTATATGTTCAATATATTAAGAGTCCTAAATTCAAATAAGAATTAAAGTTGACAACAAGTAAAGTTATGGAACTTACAATAACGTGTGAGGCTAGAATTACCTGCAGTGAAAGTATGATACCAAGAAGGCATTATCATTTTTATTAACAGGGTTTTCTTCTATAATTACTCATAGAAAAGACAGTAAAAAAAAATCTGTTACAAATTCCCTAAATGTACCATTACTATGATCTATTCTAGATCAAATCATGTGTTAACCGGAGAAAGATAAATGATGAAATCTAGTATAATACCCATACCGTGTTGAATCTAATAATAATAAGAAATAGGCTATTTTTTTTAAAAAAAGATGTATTTTATGTATATGAATGTTCTATCTGTATGTACACCTTTATGCCAGAGCAGGGCATCAGACCCTATCACAGGTGGCTATAAACCACCATGTCGTTGCTGGGAAATGAACTGAGGTCCTCTGGAAGAGCAGTCTGTGCTCTTAACAGTCATCTCTCCAGTTCCCCAAAAAGCTATTTTTAAAACTAACTTGACCCCTAATCTTTATTTTGTTTTTGTTTTTTTCAAGACAAAGTCTCTCTGTGTAACAGCTCTGGCTATCTTAAAACTTGTTCTGCAGACCAGGCTGGCCTGGAGCTCAGAGATCCTGCCTCTGTCTTCTGAGTACTGCCTGGCTTTGACCCTTAATCTTTAAAAGATTTTTTTACTAGCTATTTTTAAAAGGTCAACAATGTAAATATACTTAACACTACTAAACTACACCCTTAAAACAGCCAAGTGAAGCCACCAGAGCAGTCAGAAGACAGGGGCCAGAGCTATATAGTGAGACCTTAAGTTCAAATAGAGAAGCCTGCAGCAGAGCACGGGCACAGGATATACAAAGTCCTGGGGTGGATACTTAGAACACAAAGCAAAGAAGGGAAGGAGGGAGAAAGATATTATTATAAAAAATTAGTCATATGATTTGTCACAACTGAACTCAAAAAGGGGATGGGTACAGTGGCAAAACTAATGCAATTCCTACATTTAACAGGCTGAGGCTGCAGGACCAGTCTGGGCTAAAAGGAGGCCCTGGTCCATCCTTAACCCCAACCCAAGAATAAGAAAGCAAACAATTAAAAAACAAAAAGTTTAATCACAGAATTCAAGAGGCAGAGGCTGGAGGATCAGTACCAAAAAGATAGATATAAAAAAAAAAAAATCAAGGCCAGACTGGTCTACATATCAAGTTTCAGAACAGTCAGGGTTGGGTAATGAGATCCTGTCTCAAAAAACAAAAGGAAACAAAACTAAACTACAAATAAGCTCTAATTTTCCCTTGTTTGTTTGTTTTGTCCGTTTCTGGAGCCTGTCCTGGAACTCACTTTGTAGCCCAGGCTGGTCTCACAGAGATCTGGCTGCCTCTGCTGGGATTAAAGGCATATTCCACCACACCTACCATTTCCCTTGTATTTTTAAATAAATGTACTTACCAGTTATTGAGGGTTCATTATGTGCATATTACTAATAAAAGCTAATTCATTTTTCTCAAAGACAACACCGGGTATGGTAATTCCCAATACCTGGCAATCTGAGGCAGGAAAACCAGAGGGGTTTGAGGCTACCCTGAGCTACACAATAATATGTATCTCAACAAAACAAAATAAACAAAAAACAAAACCCAGACCCTAAAGACCTTCTTTTCAAGAAAGTAAAAATTTAAAGAGGATCAAAATTCAACAGAGTTCTTTTTTTTAAAAACTTAAGATTGAAGGGTGATGGTGGTAGTTTACGCCTTCAATAGCAGCACTACACAGAGAAACCTGCCTCAAAACAAAACAAAAAAGAATTAAAAATATAAAAATAAGAATTTTAAAAGCAGGGCTATGGATGTATAACATTGGTAGAATGTTTGCCCTGCATGCACAAAACCTCCAGTTTAATCCATAACACAAACGAACCAATAGTTGTTTTTTAGTGTTTCGGTTTAGTTTTTTTGAGTGAGTCTCACCTGGTAGCCCAGGCTGACCTCAAATTCCTGGAGCGCTGGAATTACAAGCATGCACTACCACAGCTGCCTGGCAAAAGCAAGTTTACTAAATGAAAGATTCTCACACTCCCTGTTCTCTTGCTCATCAGCATTCATGTGAAGAGCCATTTTCCAAAATTCAAAAGATGTTTATTGCCACAACTATCTTCAAATCTCCTTTTATATAAGGCCCTTTATTATTAGATGCAGTTTCCCTTGTTTCTGAGATAGCATGTGCATCAAATCTGCAACCATCAATAGTTTCAACAAAGGCAGGGCTAATCCCAGCACTCGGTAGGCAGAGGCAGGCGGATCTCTGTAAGTTCGAGGACAGCCTGGTCTACAAAGCGAGTTCCAGGACAGCCTCCAAAACAATAGAGAAACCCTGTCTCAAAAAAAAAAATAGTTTCAACCATAAAGAGCTAAAATGTAAATGCAACTGGTGGCTTTCCACTAGGAAGAGCTTAAAAGCAGACGAGTTAGTGTCTGGGTTTTATCAAATGACTTGTAATTTAAGGGAAAAATACAATAGAAACTTGAAGTTATGTATTTTCCAGAGCCTGATCTAAATCTGAGAAATGTCTTCTTTTACATTCCATGCAGGTTAATTTTCCTCTCTACCACTGTATCTACTCTGATCACAAAGCAAAAGAGCCACAGGAAAGTCACCAGCTTCAGGGAGAGCTTAGAAGAAAAAGTTAAATCTGGTCCTTGAAGAATTCTTTACAATACAGTAGCCACACAAAGTATCACTGAAAGGCATAAAGAGAGTACTCTGAATAACATAGTTCCTTTCAGCACCATTATTGCCTCCATACACACACACAAAACTCAAACATGTTGGGCCATCAACATTATGAAAGGCCCTGTATGTTTTAATGACACAGCAACTTATTCTCAACAATTATTGGCAAATATAGAGGCTATACAATGACTTAAGATAAGGCTGTAAGGAAAACAAACTATTCTAAGAGGGGAAACGATGGGAGAAAGCCAAAATCTTGTCTAAAAGGACAAAAAAAACATCTAGGAACAAGATTTGCTACATAAACATTGTTTTCATTCATTTTGACAAATTTAAACACTTACCCTGAAGAGATTTTCCCAATCCCTGGCCCAGCTTCCACCCATGTTTCTGGAGTAAGCGGTGTCCAATATTATCCTGACAGACAGAACAGAAAGACAAACCAAAAATATTCCAATAATATATTCTTCCCTTCCTAGTGACATTAAAATAGGTGATGACAAGAGATAATTCTACATATATGCATGCAAAAAAGGTGCTAATAAAAGGGTAAATGTGCCCAGTAAAAGGGACATTAATGTAAAAAGAAATGCTGGCTAGTATTTTATATGGGAAGAACATATAGGGAAAAGGTCCTTTCTGATAGTGTGCTGGGCAACGTCTGTATATAACACTTTAAAACAACAAAGGGGGGAAGGAAAAAAGGGGAGAATTCACTTATGAAGTTTTAAAACTAACATTAAAAAGCATAAAATCAAGGTATTTATACAACCATATCCACCACCTAGACAGCACCACTTTAAGATTTTTTTTTAAGAAAAGAAAAGAAAATCTGCGTTGTTTAGTTATTTTGTTTATGTGTCAGGCTTTCATGATATAAAGTAAGTTGTAAGTGTAAGGCTACCCCAGCACGAGAAATGGAGACAACCACCAAATCCAGGCTAGGCTTGATTGGCTTTAATATACATAACATATAAATATAACCAGCATGCAGCCAATATTAAACTGAAAACATTGAGGTTAGTAAAACAAGAAGTTAAATTGAGTAAACAAAAAATAAAATGAGCTCAAGCACAGACTGAGTGATGCATTTCAACGTGTAGTCTAACAAAAATGCTAAGATGTTAGAATGAAACAGGCCTAGCAATAAGTCAACAGTAAAGAACCATTAGTGCATATGAGGTCAACATACATAATGTCTCATCTGGAAACAGTATTTCAATATAAATTGTATGAAAGATACTAGAAACAACAATTAAATGTCAGCTATTGCATGAAGAGTCAAGAAATCAGAACTTCCAAAGCCCTCTGTTTAATTATTTATTTTTAAAACTACTGTGAAGTAACAAAACCAAGCTATAGAATACTGAATACCAGGAAAAAAATGCTACCAATCCAGAAAAAAAGCTAAACGTTGGGCTGTAGCTCAGAGGAAGAGCAGCTGCCTAGCATACAGCAGACTGAGTACAATCCCAAGCACTACACACACATTAAAATAAATTTTTAAAAAATTCAATATGAATTTCATGTAATTTATAGAAGTCATCTGAAACCAATTAATAAAGGCTCATAAATTATGTACTTGCTTTTCTTTTTCTTTCTTCTGGTTTTTGGAGACAGGGTTTTTCTGTGGAGCTCTGGCTGTCCTGGAACTTACTCTGTAGACCAGGCTGGCCTTGAACTCAGAAATCCGCCTGCCTCCGCCTCCCAAGTACTGGGATTAAAGGCATGTATCACCACCACCCAGCTTGTTTTTATTTTTCTTTAAAGAAAATTTTCTTTCATAAGTTTAGAACAATATGCAGCTGAGTGACGGCTATTTTATTTTACTGGTGGAAGCAAGAGACTAGACTTTGATTTCTCAGGCAGGATCTCATTAGCTTAGGCTGGTCTTAGACTTGCTATATACCCAAGGTTGACCTTAAACATTGGATCCTCCTGCCTCTACTTCCCTAGGGCTGAGATTACATATATGCACCACTATACCTGGTTTATAAGTGCTGGAAAGATTGAGCCTAAAGTCTCATGCACATTAGGCAAACACTCTACCAACTGAATTGTAGGTAGCCCCCAAGACACTTCTTTTGTGTTTTTGCTTTTTCTAGATAGGTCTCACTATGTAGTCTACCAGGCTAGCCTGGAACCTGTGATATCCTGCCTCAGCCTTCCAAATATACCACAATATCTAGAGTACTTAATTTTATGGGGTTCCATGGAGTTTCAAAAAAATAAAAGGTGAAGGCAGATAATAAAAAGCTATTTTTAAAACAAAAGGAACTATTGTGATATATAGTATACACATACACACACACACATATATAGTACACTAAAAGGTCACAAGGAATTATTTTTGCTAAAAATTAAAAGAACTAGGAAACACAAGGCTGTGTGTAATCCCAAGTGATGATGCTCACACCCAACACTAAGTATGCCTAACTATTTATAAATAACATTAAAAAAAAAAAAGGCCAATCACACTGAATCACATCCGTAATCCCTGAACTGGGGAAATGGAGAACAAATGTAAATATAGGTCAGGAGTTCAAGGTCATCCTTGGCTACCTAACAAATTCTAAAACAACCTGGGCTATATGAGACAAAACAACAGAAAAGGCCTAGGAATTTAGTGCAGTTGTACCATACTTGCCTAGCAGTGTGAGGCCCAGGTTTGAGTCATATCAAGATAAAACAAAAATATATGGAAGCACAGTAAAAAAGCTCTTATTTTCCTACTAACAAAAAATGTCTATGTATGAGCACCTCTAGAAGTGACAAGAATAACAGAGTGACTATCAGAGCCTGCGGATGGACTTGATGTTGGTGGCATACTCCTAATAAGCCCAGCAACGAGGAGGTTAAGGCAGGAGGATCACCTTGAGTTCAATGACAGTAAGGACTACCCAGTGAGATCTTATCTCAAAAACAAATAAACAAAAAACACCTAAATAACTAAATAACTGTAGTTCATCACTGTTTATTCTCTTGCTATATTAATACTATAACTGCATCTGGCACAAAGATCTATGTATTAAATAACGCTGACAAAAATTGTTGTCCCTCCCCCACTTTTCTGTGATTTTTTTTCAATTCCATCTTTGGCCATGTGAGATGAGACATTATGCTGACTGTGTTATATTATGAATGCACTAAATAAACAGACAGATGAAGCAGTATGCTATTTCCAAAAGCAGTGCAAGTGGAGTGAAAGCATTTCCATACGAACCTGGCTTTAAAAACTGGGCTGTCAAAAGAACAGTTAAATGTAACACAAAGTAAGAAACTGTCCGATCACTAATGGTCGCTTTATTTTTATTTTAATTTTTTGTCTTGTTTTCAATTCACTGCTTGCAAGTAATGTATTTATTAAAGAAGACTGAAAGCATAAGTAAAATAACGAGTCAAGACCAGCTGAGAGATTCAAGAGCAGCGTGTTGTGTTGTGACTGACAACAGTGAAAGGAAAAGCAAATGTTAAAGGGAGAAAAAAGAAAAGTTTAGGGTCATACACATTAGCACTTTTACAACACCACTCAAGAGGTTTGCTGCCACCTCTGGGGAATGCTACTCATATGGAACGATAGTGGTATTACTCTTCCAAAACCTAATGCTGAACTGCTCTAACTAAATATACTTTTCTGAGTAGGAGCAGAGAATGGAATGTTTGAGGCTATAAACTACTAAACATGCCACCAAGGCCTTCTGAATAAAATAGACAACAAAACTATAGACACATCTCCCCACCAGCCTCAAGTAAATGAATTATCATCCTGTAGAAAAAAAAACAATATATTTTATTTAGGACTGTGATTCTGTGGTGTTCTCATGATAGAGTCCTATAGATGTAACAATAAAATGAAATAAAAACTTAAGTCTCCAGGGCTGGAGAGATGGCTCAATGGTTAAGAGCACTGACTGAAAGTAATACAGAGAAACCCTGTGTGTGTAGGAGGGAGGGGTGATATGATGAGCACTGACTGTTCTTCCAGAGAACCCAGGTTCAATTCCCAGCACCTACATGGCAGTTCACAACTGTCTGTAACTCCAGTTCCAGGGTACCTGACACCCATGGCAAACACCAATGCATATAAAACAAAAATAAAGAAATTAAAATAAAAACTTAAACCTCCAACAGGTACTTGTGACAGAATATAGGCAATCAGCACTAAATAACTAAATATAATTCTAAAATTGTTAACTACTGGAAAAAATATTTTGTAAAAATCAGTAACTCTGGGGGCTGGAGAGATGACTCAGTGGTTAAGAACACTAGCTGGTCTTCCAGAGGTCCTGAGTTCAATTCCCAGCAACCACATGGTGGCTCCCAACCATCTGTAATGAGATCTGATGCCCTCTTCTGGTCTGCAGGAATACAAGCAGACAGAACACTGTATACGTAATAAATAAGTAAAATAAATATTCTAAGAAAATCAGCAACTCTTACTATTTTATCGCTAAAATAATTACAAAATATTGTTTTTTTAATTAATAAAAATATAATATAACGCCAGGGCAGTGGTGGTGCATGCCTTTAATCCCAGCACTCGGGAGGCAGAAGCAGGCAGAGCTCTGAGTTAGTTCTAGGATAGCCAGAGCTGTTACACAGAGAAATTCTGTTTGGAAAAACCAAATAAAATGAATGGAAGGAAGGAAGGAAGGAAGGAAGGAAGGAAGGAAGGAAGGAAGGAAGGAAGGAAGGAAGGAAGGAAGGAAGGAAGGAAGGAAGGAAGGAAGGAAGGAAGGAAGGAAGGAAGCAAGGAAGGAAGGAAGCAAGGAAGGAAGGAAGCAAGGAAGGAAGGAAGCAAGGAAGGAAGGAAGCAAGGAAGGAAGGAAGCAAGGAAGGAAGGAAGCAAGGAAGGAAGGAAGCAAGGAAGGAAGGAAGAAGAAATGAAAGAAAGATGAGGCCAGGCATAATGGCACATGTCTGCAAGTCCAGCACTTGAAAGAGAAAAACCTAGTCTATTCAGTGAGTTCCAGGGCTATAGTATGAATTAGACTTAAAAAGACTAAGAGAGCCAGAGGTGGTGGTGCACCTTTAATCTCAGTGCTTGGAAGGCAGAGACAGGAGAATCTCTGTGAGTTATAGGACAGCATGGTCTACAGAGTGAGTTGCAGGATAGCCAAGGCTACACAGAGGAACCCTGGGGAGGGGGGAGGCAAAAAAAAAAAAAAAAAAAGTAAGAGAAAGCCAGGCATGGTGCTCTCACCTCTTTAATTCCAGCACTCAGGAGACAGAGGCAGCAGATCTCTGTGAGTTTGAGTCCAGCCTGGTCTACTAGTGAGTTCCAGGATAGCTAGAGCTACATAATAGGGAGATTTATGACAAAAAAGAAGCAAAGAAAAAACTGTGAGGTATAATGTCATATGTCTATAATCCCACTGAGGTAGAAGGAAGATCAGAGATCCAAGGTCATCCACTGG